GTGGCCAGACGATGTTTTGCCTAAGAAACGTATTATGCTGGATCGTGAAGACGAGACATTGATCTCATATCTGAACCGCGAAGTCCGACGAGATGTTGAGTGCGTCGATTGTACTTCAGAAGATGTCATTCCACCGCTTTATGGGTTGTTCAAAGTGCCTTCGACGCAGTCACAGTGTCAGGCCATGTCTCTGCTGTACAGAGCACAGGGAGAACGGTTGATCCAAACAGGTGGGCTCGGAGCTCTGGGTCCTTCAGTTGGTCTGTGGCTTCTTTTAGGGGCCCGAAAATGGCCTAAGCTGCTCTTCGCCTGTTATTTACTTCTTCCTCCATAGTTCTCCATGTTCATCGAACGGCCGAGATATTAAGAAGACGTCTCCGCGATTGGAGAGCCTTCTAATTTTATGTCCTGATCTTCGCAAAAAGCGTTCTTCATGAACTGAGTCTTCTTCCAGTTAATTCGCAGTCCTATCCTCTTCCCTACTTCGTTTAGTTCTTTCAGCATCGTCTCTGCTCCAGTGATAATGCTCGATAAGAGAACAATGTCGTTCGCAAAATGAATGTTCGAGAGGAGTCTCTTATCAATTCGTATACCTGTCTCGTTCCAATCAATTACTTTCATCACCCCTTCAACGCGGCGGCAAAAAGCTGTGGCGACACGGTATCGCCTTGTCGAACACACTTCGAAATTGTATATTAAGAGAGCGACGGAAAAGCTGCACCGTTGTAGAGCAGTTCTTATGGCAGTTGGTCAGTGTCCTCACAGATGGGTCCATCCCTTGGGACGAGCGCTGACAGTATGGCATTTCTCGACGCTGTCGACGAAGGTTAGGACGAGAGGTAAGCGGTACTCACGGCAAACCTCGATAATCCTCGGAACTGTTTCGATGTGATCCACGCTGCTGTATCCCTTGCGAATTCCAGCTTGTTCTACAGGTTGGGCTTCATCGAGTGTCCCTTATATGCGGGCGAGAACAATCTTCTCAAAGAGCTTGTAACGCACTCTCAGCGAGCTTGGACAGTAGTTCCGAAGATCCTCCCCATCGCCTTTCTTAGGAAGGAGTATTGTTCGGGAGGTTCTCCACTGGTCGGCGATGATTTCTTTTTCAAGGTAAGACGTTGGATTTTCCGGAAGTATCTCGTGTAGGCGGCGTCCTCCAACTCGTAAGAGGTATTAGTACAATTGGTACATTCAGCTGCATTGTTATGCTCAAGCAAATTTGCGTGGTGCAGGAGATCTGACAATTAATCTACTCAGTTTCACATAGGAAGTTAATCTTTGCGGATCCCTTCCTCTCTGCTGGATTACTCAGGTCTGAGGAAATTAAACATTGAAATCTGGACATTCGACCAGCTCAAAGAAAATCCATGTAAGGTACCGAAAAAGAATATAGAAAAAATATCGGCAAATATTAATCTCCGAACTATCTCAGCCGCTGATACTATTTGATATACTCTACAGAACACTCATTCCGACTATTGCCTCCCGTAAGGAGATAGTCAAAATATGCATTCCAAACCTTTCGGTCGATGGAGAACCAAAGAGATGCACAAAAATGCATTGTGCTGATTTTATAGTTACGGTGTTGTTCCTTATTTATATTCAATCATACTGCAAGAAGCATTAAACCGCTCGAACTTGCTAAGTTGCAGAATGTGCAGATGCATCCCAACTTTTGGGACGCACTTGTCTATAATAGTTACGTAAGGCTTGCTATGTTTTTTTGGGAAATTGAAGGATGGTTGTTTAAGGCATATTAATACTGCACAGTAAAGCCACGAGTAAATTTCATCCCGTAATTCTTTTTCCTTAAGATAATTGCTGATACTCGAGCGTTGACTGTACAAGGAATAAATCAAGAGGGCTCATCTAGTGGACAATTTATGAAATTATTCAAAAGCGTAAGCTTTCGTAAAGCATTGAACTCTTGCAGTGTCGCATTAAAAGTCTTCTTCTTTGTAGGAGACGAAAGAAAAGCCTAAGAAAGCTAAAAGTAGCGAAACCGACGATGAAGATGATGATACTTTGGAGGAAGAACAGGCAGACAATGCAGTGGTAGAGTATGAACCTGCATGGCTGCGTTTGACTAACAGTTTCAATGATGAGAAACAACATCGACCCCTGAAAGCTACTAGTAGTTCAGGATCTGGCACTCAAGGTCATTTAAGAATTTGTCTCCAAATGCCGATCTTTGATATTTCTCCCTTTGTTACAGAAAAGCCCATTTTGGCGGCCGGACTACGATTTGCCAAAAACATCTATGGTATAGACAAATTCGGGCCATCACCTGAAACTCGTGCTTTCTATAAAAGCTATGTGAATGCGGGTGGATATAAGTTTGATGCAGCGGTATGTACATGTGAATAGAAGTATCCGCCTGAAATTTTCATAATTGATCTTTTCAGGATTGGCTTAGTCATAAACCCACTTTGCTGACTGATCTGAATATCCCATCTCCTACTCAAGATATAGCAACTCGTCCAGCAATATTCACTACTGATGATGTGTTCATGGTCAGTTTCCTTCACCTCTTTGTTT